CCTTTCTGCCTATCGTTTGTGCTGTATCTTCTTTGGCACTCGACATTTCCCTCCCTGCTGGCCATGAAAGGCTGGCTGTGTTGTTTTCCTAGCTCCCCTTTTCATATTTCGACCAACACGGTGGTTGTTCCTTGCAGTTGTTAGCGAGTGCGCTGTGGAGCCCTGCATGGAGAGCCCACAGGGGGCTCTAGGACGTGGCCAGTGGGCTCTAGGACGTGGCCAGCGGCTTCTGCCGCCTGCCTCCTGCCAGGCCAACACCTTCGTGCCCGGGATCGTCCCCGGCCGGGGGCTGCTCCCTGTCGCACGCTGGCAGCCCGTCCTAGAGGACTGGCGTCAAGCACGGATCAGCTAAGCCCAAATCAGATTACAGGCAGGAGCAGCTTAGGTGCAATGCGGGCAGTGGAGGGAGGGAACAAGGTGACTTCTTGCGGTCATATAATAAAAAGAGGGCAGCGAGTGGAAGGGTACAGCCAGGTGGGAGAGGACTCAGAGATGACACTCTTTGTCCTCTGAAACCAATGCAAAAGGAAACTTTTTAAGACTTGCAGACCATGACTGTCAAGAGACATTCAAGACCCACACCTGCAACCCAGTTTCAGTGTGTTTCCCATCCGTCCTCCCCCTTCACGTGGGCTGTGTGTGCTAGAAGCCTTCTCATGTGGTGTATTTTAAAGCTACATCAACACAACACCCCATGAAGGGACCACCCTGCCTGAGTGTCTGCTGCCAGTACCGACCCAAAGCCTTCAGGGTCTTTGAGGGTCTCTCAGATACCTTTAATGAGTTTTTTAGATCAAGCTCTGCCTAACAGACACTCTGTGGTACTGGAGAACCATGAGCAGTCTTGAGGATGTGTCTGCCGGCTGGTAGCCGCCCATCATCCGCCTGCCAAGCGCTTTCAGGGACCCTCTCAGACAGGCAACCTGATCCAAAGCTTCACTGCAACCAAAATTGTCTTTCTATGCAGAGCTGACAAGGCCACATCTACCTGTGGGCCCCTGGCAGAGCTTATGTCCAGCCTGGACAATCTCAACCATCCACCCTGGCAGCTACCCAGCTCCAGCAGGACCGGATCTTCCACCCTGTTAAGGATGGACCTAATGAGAGCTCTTGGGCAGCCTTCCCTTAGTCTGGGAAGGGCGGCCCTCCCTTTCTCCTGCCTCCACAGCCCCAGGGCTGAGCCTACCCAGCCGCCTTGGTTGCCACCTGCCTCTAGGCAGGCCGAGCAAAGCGGCGAGGAAGAGCGCAGTGCGGTTGCAGTCAGGTTGGCAATGCCTGGCAAGAGGCTCCAGTTGGGTGGCCCCTGGCCCTGGCGTGTTTTCCTCGCTCGTGATATGTTCCCAGCCCTTCTCCCCCTCGCGCTTTGTCTCTTCGTTTCTTTGGACGTTCATCCCTCTTGCATCTGCCCCTTAGAAGATTATGCCCAAAAGAAACCCCTCTTCCCGTCCTGTTTCCGCTACCATTCTTAATACTAATGATAATAAGCTATCAGTGTTGTCATTGCAATCTATGAATGATAGATTTGAGTATTTATAATTATTATTATTATTATTATGGTTATGATTATGTACTTTTTGCTTCTTACTCTTTGTATGTTGCTCTTTGTTTCTCTGTCGTGAATAAATGCAAGGCCCCGTCGCACCTTCTCTCTGCTCGCCGCTGCCCGCCTGGGCTGGCCGGCCTGGGCTGCCTCTGGCACAGTGCCCAAGCGCTCCCAGGCTGCAGGAGGCTTATGCAGGGCCCAGGATTTGGAGGGGGGCACTCCCTAACAATGCACAGACTCCAGAACCCTGGGGAAGAGCCAGTCTCTTAACTCTTGCCATCCTCTCCAGTGACTCCGCTTCCCCATACTGGAGTCCCTTCATGTTTATAAAGGGCAAGAAGGCACTCGCCCCGAGGCTGGAGAATTAACTGGTGAAAGCTTCAAGCTACAAGCATTAGCTTAAAGGCCATCCAGCTCATGGAGTCAGCTCCCTCCAGGTCATGGTCCCCTCACCTCCTACTACTGTCAGCACCCGCAAAACGCCCCTTCCCCCTGAGCGGCTTCTTGGTACAGCCTCGCCAGCCTTTGCCTCTGCACGGGCGCCACATTTAAGCAAGACCTCATGTGTTTTATGGGCTCGAGCGTCCTGCTGACACCATCTCTGGCCCAGGACTCTGCCTCCTGGGACTGATCCATGGCCAGTGTTAGAGCTTGCAAGGCAGCAGAGCAGCGCTGAGAGCCGTGAGCAGGCTGGCTGCTGGCCCGAGGAGATGGGGAGGCTGCTGCTGGTAGGGAGCAATGCTGCTTCCCTGCTTCCCAGCGGCAGCAGTGGCCGGGAACAGCACTGGCAAACCTGGCTGGCCCGTGGGGATGGAGCCTGGGGCATGTGTTTTGCATGCATAGCCTGGGCTCCTTCCCCAACCTGCAGGTTCTGAGGTGATTGCACGGCAAATATTTCTCCAGGAGAAAATATCAGGGAAGGGGAAAGGAATCCTTTCTGCACTGCAGCATAGAATGCTCCCCGTGTAACGGGCCGGCCCCATGAAGGCTCATTTTCATCTTTGGAGTTTAACACTGTCCTTCCCAAAGCAGCCGAGAAATGGCCCGTTGTCCCCCCAGGGCTCTGGGCTGTTGCAGGTGGGGTCTTCGTCCTCGTGCTGTGTCAGACTCATCCCTGATATAGCCCAGAGCCCCAGCTCCATCCCGTTCAGGCTTCACGCCCGCTCGGGAGCTGCGCGCCAAGGCCCGCAGCCCTCCTGAGGCTCCCGCCCGGGCGCCGCTCTTCCTACCTCACGTGCTCGCGGGGGCGGCCGCACGCGGCCAGGCGCCCGGAGCCTCCTTCCCTCCCGGGGCGCCTCGCAGCCACAGAGTCCGTGTCCGCCGGCAGAGCCCGGCACACGCCGGCACCCCCGAGCGGGGAGAGCATCCGGCGGTGCTGCCGGGTTCTGCCCGGCGCGGCCGCGAAAGACGCCCTGCCCCTGCCTGGCCGTTACTTATTTATTACCGGAGGCTGTAAGCAGCTGTGCTTTTTTACCCTCTCTTTCTTTTCCTTTCTTTTGTATTTTGGAACTACGTGTTGTAATAAATGCCCAAATAGATGTTTTAATAACCGGTGTCGGCCTTGTTTTTGGAGGACCAGATCCGTTCGGGACAGGGCTGGAGAGTCCCTTGTGGCCAGGGTGGGGGATCCTCATTTGCACCCACACAGACCTGGCCGTGTGGAAAGCTGGATGCACAGACATATCTCCATACATTTATAGGGGTGAGCAGTCGGGTGTGGGAGCTGGTTGAGCGGTCGGGTGTGGGTGACGCTCGCTCAGAGCAGGAGCTTGCATGAACTCCATATAATGAAGATACTGGGGTGGGATATTGAAGCCCTAAGTGGAAAACCAGTCTCTCCGCTCCCATCTTCTTTTTTCTGGTGTCCCATAACCCATCGAGGATAAAGTGCTGTGCATTTGGTGTGTTTTACAGCAAACTAAATCTTGGGAAAATGAAATCATGGGAAGGGCTAAATCTTGGGATAGGGAATAGGCCCAGGTGGTGACTTCATCCTCACTCCTGGCCGTGCTCTGCTCCAGGTCCACACTGGCAGCACCCCAGGCAGCAGCAGAGCTGGTTTCACCCAATGGCTCTCATGGAAACATTTCCTCACGTCCCCCTGCAGCAAGTTTCCCTCAGGGAGAGGAGTCAGCACCAGGAGCTCTCCGCAGCTCTGGCTCCAGAAAGGTGCAGCACTTATTGACTTAAAGGTGGGAGTGACAGCTATCAAAAATCAGCTACCAAGGCGTTTTCCCACAGGCCCAGCTAAATCTTGCCGGGTTTTACAAATCCAGCCCCCTCACCCAGCTACACAACTTGGCACAGGCTCCTAAAATGGCTGCCAGCACCCCAGCAATCATGGCGGCCTCACGGTGCAGCTCCGGCTTCACAGCCTTGGTGCCGCTCACCATGGGCTCACACCGCCACACAAAAGGCACATATTTAACCCCCAAGCACAAGCTTTTCCCACCTACATCCTAGCTCCATTTTCCCAGTTTCCCACAAGGACAGTGCTCCCGAGAAGCGCCCGCTGCTGAGGTGGCACCATGACCCACTGGCTGCCACGGCCGCAGGCCCAGTTAAATCCCCGGGTGGATTCCCTTTGGTGCAGGGAGAGGCTGTGCCAGCCCGGCACAGGGAGGCGCGTGCGGGTGTTTTGGCCTCCTGGCTCACACGCACGAGCTCTCAAGTTGGAGGTGGTTGCAAGCGGGCGCAGGAGCGGGAAGGCGGCTGCACGGCAGAAACCACTCTCGCAATGAGAAACCCAGGAACGTCCTTTTTCCAGCTCTTGGGCTTTTATTGACTCAGAACGGCTGCCAAGCCTATAAATAAATGTTCCTTGTGCTAAATATAGCAGCCACTGAAATAGGCTGCCGGCTATTTATTTAGCTTGTGGCCTCTTTGAAAGCAGGCCAGTCAGCACTGCCTCTACCTTTGCCCCATCCCACACGAGGTTGTGGCCACCCACCATGGGGGCACAGCTGAGCCGGGGTGAGGAGAAGCGGTCACTAAAAGTCAGTGACAGCCCCAGATGGAGATTCTGTAGGCCTGGGGTGGCCACATCTAGCAGCAGGAGGTGCTTTTGGGCTCCTACATCCCTAACCTGGGGAACTCCTGAGGGGGAACTGAGGCAGCATGACCTGCACCAGTAGCCATATGGTGCTTTCTCCTCCTGGGAGGGCTCCAGACCTTTTTGCAGCACTGGAACCTGGAGGGGAGACTGTATTGTCCACCATAGGTAAATACACTGCTTTCAAGCACAACATGGGGTGCCTTCCTTCTCCACACTTCTCAGGAGTTGAGGTACCCTCCTCCAGGGGCAGAGAAGCCATATAGTAGGGCGCTGGGGCAATCATCAGCCCTTGATTGCCCTTACCTGCCTTGAACAGCCACACCTGGGAGCTCACCTGCACTTTCCACCCTGGAACTCCATTTAAGCTCTGGTGAGGGCCTATCTCCTGGATGGACCTTGTACCTATATTGGAGCATTGTTCCCTGCTCTCTTGATAGGCTTTCTGGATGGGATTTGGTTCCTTGTTTGGGACTGCTACAATTGCTGTTTTTGTTATTCTGCTCTGCTCTATGGAGGATATCCTGCTGGAGAAGGTACTGTGTTGCTGGGGTCTGCTTCGGGCCCCTTATAGAACCAGCATGATCCAGTAGCTTCTTGAGATTGTTCTGAGCTCCTGTTTTCTGTTGCCACCCAGAATCTCCTGGGCCGGAGACATATGAAAGGTCACTGGAGGCATCTGAGTTCATCCTTGCTCCAGCATTTTCCAGGAGAGGGCTGTGAGGGGACTCTGGCCAGAGGGACCCTGCTTTGGGATACCAGACTGAAGGTGTGTGGTATTATGAGCATGCCCTTGGGTCCTGCTGCCTGGCCCATGCTGCATTTGGTTCAACCTCTTTGTGCAATGTGTGCCAGGAGGAGGTCCCCTGTGCCAAGGAGGCTGATGAGATGGATGCAGGCTCTTTTGTACTGTTCAGACTCAGTGTTAGAGAGTGGTTTGGGGTACATTTAACTTGCATGTATGGTGTAACTTAGGGGTCATGTTGGCTGTGCACTAATGCAAAAGCCTGGGATGAAGGGCTGAGCTTCACTCCCTCCAAGGCAGAAAACACTGATGGAAAGAGGTGAGAGTTGCTCTTCTGCTGCAGGCACTGTCCTAAACAGAAATAGGATTTTGCTCACCTTGGGCTGTGATGACATTGCTGCAGCTCCATACCAACAAAGGAAAAAAGCCATCACTCCCTGGAAAGCCACGCTCATTCCTGGAGCAATCCAAGGCATTAATAATGCTTAGCACTTACAGAGAGTTTTGCTAAATATGAGCTAATCCTTACAACACCCATGGGAAGAGAAAAGTAATTATTATTATTGGGTGTAATATATATTTTTTTCCTTCCTTTCCCATGTACTCCTGAAGATCAGGACGAGCTCCACTGAATACAGAGACTCCAAGTCAGAAGAGACTTGATTTAGTGTGATTTGCAAATTGGCAACCTGGAGTGAAGCCGATAAGCAGTTTGCTGAAGGCCACGTGGGAAGGCAGAGACAGGGCTGAGCTAGTGAAAGGGGGAAATCTGGATCCTAATTCTGCTCCTGCTTCACCAGGCTTTAATTCCCTTACCAGACATTTCTGATAACAGAAGATTTTGTGAGTGCTTTTGGTTTGGCACCCTCTGAGCTGTGCTGTGTAAATCATGACTGAGGATGTTATCCTGCTCTTATTCCCGGAGCCCCTTGCAGCTGTGGGCTGTGCCCTTAGCCGTGTCACAGCCCCAGAGTGGGGGCCTGGCATCCTCAAGTGACACATTGGCTCTGAGCAGCCAGGAGACCAACCTGATGTGGCTGATAGGAGTGTGAGTTGGCAATGTGGGAGTGAACCCCTGGCTCACCCCAATTTCATGGACAGGGGGTCATCTTTGCTAGCGACCCCCCTGGCAGCACGGGGCAGGGGCACTACTGTGTGCCCAAATTCATTAGCATTGCTCAGCACTCTTGCTTTGCTCCCCTTCGGCGCTCTTCTCTTGGAGCGAGACGCTGGCGCTGGGTGCCTGAGCGCAAGCGCTGTCTGTCAGCGGCGCCCAGATGATGTCATGTAGTTTTCCAGGCTCCTGGGCTGAGCCAGCAGCCAGAGCCAGTATGACTTGAGCTGCTCTATTTAGAAGGAGCCCAGGCCTTCCTGACTCCAGAGGCACCTGGCAGCGGGTCCTACCCTCTGCTGTGTCTCTTCTGATGCAACTGCAGCCATGATGAGGATGTCCCTGAGACAGTTGCTCTTGGGAGGCTCGACGTGGAGACCAAGTGCAGCTGAAGGAAAGGCGGTTGCTTTGGACACCTGGTGAAGGTGTTTGCTAGGTCAGTGCTGACACAAATCCTCTTCAGGACTAGTGCTGCGGTGAGTGTGGGAGATGCTCCTTTAAGTAATAAAGACACCCTCTTCATTTCTTTTTCATAAAGCTGCCTTCTGTGAGGAGAGCTGATTACTCTGCTGAGGATTTGCTGCTAAATGTGATTGCAGGAGACTGCAAATGTTAATCAGGTGCCTGTGCTGACAGCCACGGGGTTTGCTCCTGCTCACTGCCCTGCTGGAAAGCTGCTGCGTGGGCAAGAGGAGACCTGCAAAAATCCCATCCTGTGGCACTAGTGTAAGTGCAAACAAAATCCCCTCCTACAAAAATCAGTGATGGATCTGCCTGCTTAGATCCTGGCAGCAGGACCTGGCTGAGGCAGAGCCTGCTGTTAGCCAGGCACAGGAGGGAAATCTGTCCCGCTTGTGGTGTTCTGGCCCTTTCCGTGGGCAGGAAGGGCCCTGAGCGACCACCTGGGCCAGGAACCCGAGCTCTGGGTGTCCGCGGAGTCCATCGCCCTGCGGGACAGGCCTGTGGTGCCAGCCAGTGAGCAGCCTCTAGGGGCAGCCCCTGGCAGCTCCCCCATCAACATGGGGTGGTGGTGGTGGTGCCAGCGGAGGGGACGCGTTCCCCCTCCTGCAAGATTCCCCGGCAGACCCAGGTAAGCTGCAAAACTGCTGGGCCCTGCCAGCGTGTGCTGCCGCAGATCACGCTGCGGCCTGAGCACCTGCAGCGTTTGCTGCACCGCCTTGTTCGAGCCTTTTTGAGTCTCTGGAGGGGCTGGGCTGGGGAATCAGGGACCCCAAGGCCCCCCATATTGCACCTTTGCCAGGCGGCTGCAGATAGAAGGGGTTACAGCCCTCGCTGCTCCCTGGAGATGCTGCCTGGCAGCCGAAACCTCCCTTCCCAGCGTCCCAGCCTGTCCCCTATGACAGCAGGGGGACGTCAGTGAGGGAGGCCCCTGTCACCGATCCCGTTTGTGGTCCTGTGTCCCCAGGCCCAGCACTGTGCGGGAGCCTCCGTGTGGCCATGGCCCAGCAGATGTGGTGGTGCCGTGGGCAAGGACTGGGCTGCCGCATCTGCAGCCAGAGAGCATTAACCTTCCCCCTGTGAGACAGTCCTCGGGCCTTGCTGATGCCAGGAATCGAGCATCTCCTAAAGCCAAAGCACATGCAAGAGCACCCAGGAACCTGGCCAAAGATCAAGCTGCTCTCCCATCAAATTTAAAAAAAAAAAGCCGCGTGCAGTGGCTGCCCTTGGCTCTCGTGCCCCCCAAGGCTGTTAGCAATGAGCTCACCTCGCTGTTGGCGCTGCCGGCGCGCGGGAGCCGCCTATCGATCTGGTCCGCTCCTCTCCAGCTCCCTGCAGGGCTTCGCTGGCAGGAAACCTCTCTGCCTCGCCTCCCGCAGAGACCTGAACCTTCATGGAGAGCAATGGAATAGTCTGGATTGCTTTTTCTCCTTTTTAATATGTATTTTTTTTATTTTTAATCCATAACAGGGTGTTCTGTTATACCTTCCAGTGTTGAAATCGGGACACAGGGCATGGACAGACTCTTGTCCTTTTTGCTTTAAAGCTACCCAATTATTCTGAGCGTTTTCACTTCATGCCCCTCTTGCCTTGCGGGAGGATGTGCCAGGGTCCTGCACCTCTAGCTGATCCTCCTGCCTCCGAGGCAGTGGTTTCAGGTGTTTGCAGCTGCATGAGAAACCCCACTGGGCAAATGGGGAGTCCAAAGCCCGGACTTGGAGTTGCAGCCAGAAACCCTCTTATCTGTTTTGGGCTCCCTTCCTAGCTATGAAACAAGCCATTTGCTGTCTGGCCTCTTGCAAAATGGGCTCTCTCCCTCCCTCTGCTTTCCTTGGGAAGACTTTCAGGTGCCTGGGTAGACCTCATAAATGACTAATGAGCCTTTGCAAACATTAGCTCTAGAGCTGCCTGCCAGAAGCAGAGGGAGCTCGAGCGGCCCTTGTATCTCCCTGCTCTATTCAGAGAAGAGGACTTGTCCTTGGCAAGAGCTGCATTAAGGAACAGGCAGGCAAACAACTGCATGGTGCCCCAGGCAGGAGAGCCCTGGGGCTCGTGGCCCTCAGGAAGCAGCAGCTATCAGAGCAGGAAGGGAACCCTTCATCTGCCATAGTCACCTGCACACAGCTCCTATGGAAAGGGTTTTTTTCAGTTGTGGCTTTAACATACCTGTGTGTTTTTCCAGGCTGAAGGTCAGCACTACCGGAGCAGATGCTTATTTTGGGGTGGTATGGAGATGACAGAGCTGTGGAGTCAACAGGTAACCTGAAGAAGTCTTTATGTTCATTTGTGGGGAGAGGAGGGGGGAAAAGTGGTAGTGGTGTGGAGAGGGTTGGCAATACAATTTCCCAAGTGAATCTGCATTGCTCCTGACCCAGAACTGAACAACCTGGAGGTCTGTATCTCAGTGCCTCACAGGCCCACCTATGCACCCCAAATCTGGTCCAACAGGCCAAGAGGAAGCTCAGCCTTTCCTTCAGCCGCTGGCAGCCTAGGCTGCAGGGCTCTGCTTCTACCAGCACCCGGATTGGGCACTGTTCCCGAGCTGGGCAGGTTTCTAGCAGCACTTAGCTGATCTCAGGAGCTTCCCACCACGTGTGCCAAACCATCCCAATGCTGCGTGCTCCTGATCCACTTCACCAAGGTCACTAGCCCGTTGGCACCTAGCTAAAAATGGTGTTGCTGGTGAGGAATAGCCCTCACATCAGTCTTCAACACGCTCTCTAACAGAAACAACTTCTACCTCTTGCTTGTCCTTATGGCCATTAGATGGTGCCATTGGGTCTGCTTTGGATGCGAGGCCCTGAGGACACCAAGCTGCTCCTGAGAGCACAACTGGCTTCTTGCTCCATCTCACAGGCAGGATCTTACTGTAGGGAATAGAGCTATATTGCTTAGGTCCAAATTTGGCCAAATAAAGAAATTTCGTACTATAGGGGGTGGAAAGCAAAGCAAGAGTAGGCTTTCAGCTTTTCCCAAGACCATTAAACAAGCCAGTGTCTCTGTTTTTGTGTGTGTGATTTTGCACAAATCTTGCAAGACTGGCTCACTTGTTAAACCTGGGCATCAGTGCTCTTAATACAGAAGCATTCCAGCCTCAGTTTCCAAAACAAAAGGTGTGTTTGCTGCTGGAAATACTTCAGAAAAGAGGAGTCACGTTCATGCAGCAGAGCCCAGGTAGTGAAAGAGAGCTCACAATAGTAGCTGCCTGCTGTAGCTTTTCAGTCAAAGTCAGCTTTTCAGCTGGTCCCCAGTGGTGAAAGCTCCCTTTCCCTTGAGGATAAGGTAGAGTTATGGGACGTGCCAGGGATGCACTCCTCCGCCCTAGAGAGCGGGAGAGAGGCCGGCCTAAGCTCTTCGGCCTGGGGGTGACCTCCTTTCTCCCTTACATGTCTTTGCACAGAGCGCAGCAGAGGAGGCTTGTGTGCGCAGGCAAGCTGCTTGTGGCGTGCTTATCGCATCTAACATCTCCCCTCCAGATGTGCAGCCAGGACTTCCTGGGCCTTTGCATTAATAATTCTCTTTGAGGCAGGCTCTGGGTTTTTTTTGCAGTGACCAGAGCCTGGCACAGATGGCCCTGGTGTCCAGCTGAGGCCTTTACCCAGCATTGCAAATATGTGTGTGAATAATGACTTGCTGCTTTCCCTGGGCTGGCTTTAGGTTTTATTTGCACGAGATGAAAGAGGATAAAAATGCAAGCAGCATGAGGAAGCCTGGGAAGGAACGAGAGCAGAAATGATTGCAAGTGCATTTAGTTGGTGATAAGAACAGCCGTCGAGCTGGGTGATTTCCAAGCGTGGTGGGAGCCGGCTTCAATTTCGCAGCATAATCTTTCCTGTGTCCTTAAAATAACCTCTCTGTGCCCGCAGGGTGCTGCAGGAGCGGAAGGGAGCCCCTTTCCCCTTGTGCCCAGGGCGCTTTGGAGAGCATTGCGGGTGGAGGCTCCGTACCGGGCGCAGGGGGACGTGTTGCGGCTGCAGGGTGCTGGCGCAGGACCGGTGCCGGTGCGGGAGGGCTACAGGCCTGAGCTCCTGCCGGTGCCAGCGAGAGCGCTGCTTGCCAGAGCCGCCGCGCCGCAACGGGACCCTCCTTGTTGTCGGCGCTAATTGCTCATGTGAGATGTATTTGCAGAAGCAATGGTTTGTGCAGAGCGCTGCAGACAAACAGACTCCTGTTCTGCCGGGCGCTGTGTGATGGCTGGGGGCTGGGAAGGCTTTAATGCTGCCTCGGAGGCCTCGCTTACGCTGCAGGCACCGGCCCTGCACAGTGCCCGGTGGTGCCCGCAGGGTCCCCATGGCAGCAAAGGCACAAGGTGGCTCTCCAGGTCTGGCTCTTAATGTGTGGAAAAAGCAGCATCCGAGCTGTGCTGGAGCAAGCTGCTCCTGGGGGTAGAGAAAACATCTAATACTTTGGTTGTTCTGGGCCTGAGAGATAAGAGTTAAGATTTTTATCCAGGGATTTACTTGAAGATGTGCCTGTCCTCGATGAGGCTGCAGATCAACTCCTCACAGACAAGCTCTGCTGAAGCCCAGGGGAGCTGTGAAGTGCAACATCTCTGCAAACACTGACTCCTCAGCACTCCTCCCTGAAGCCCTGTCCCTCACTTGGACATCTAACCACAAGCCAGATTTCCCACTTTGCTCAGGGCCCAATATGCCAAACTGTTCAAAATCTGACCATCAGCAGGACTGGTCGCCCTGTCACAAGGCTATATCTAAAATGTCTTGCTATTATTGGCAGTGGTCAATATTTACAACCACTCTTGGTATTTATTTATAACAAATCAAATGTTCCAGCCAGAAAGGGATGCTGTTATTAATATCCAGCATGATTAATAATCGCACTCTGAGTGTGGCAGACCCACGCTGGAAGGATCATGTGCTCTGCTCTTCCTAATGGCTCTGCAGGAATTTGGGCTGTAACATGTTTCATGCGCAGGGACAAAGACGTTTTGTCCCAGAGAAGGAGTATGTGGATGTTTTGGACTTAAAGAGCCAGTGCTGCATGCTTTGCAAATAGCGCTTTACAAACACATTGTTTTGATCCCAGGACTATTAGCCTGCTGTGTCTTTCTGCCAAATGGTTAAATCCTCCTGTGGCTGAAGAGCTGGATCTGAAAACAGACTTTGCTGGCTTTGTCCTCTGGAAAACACTTTGTCTCCTCCATGCTGGGGCAGTTGTCACCTGTCCTGCTTCTCTGCTGCCACTTTGTGCCCTGCAACAAGCGCTGCATGCACTAGAAACACTTCAAACCGAACAACCCCCTTCATGTTTCTCTGCCTGCAGAGGCTTCCCAGGTGCCCAGGCAGCTGGAAATGTCTGTTCTTCTCTTCCCCAGGCTTTGCTGTGGCTGCTTAGGGGGACAAGAGGAGTGTGCAAAGCTCCCGACACCGTTTTGCCCCCTTCCTTCTGCCGCTGTTGCTGCGGCCTCAGATAGGAAGCTGCTTGTCCCTGCACCAAATATCAGGCTGGGAAGGAGGGGCAGGTGTTGCCGCAAAGAGCCAGGGAAGGGCCAAAGTTCGCTGCCGTTCCTCGGCGCCCTGCCGCGCGGATCGATGTTTGCCCACCTGCGCGCTGCGCCCTGTCTGTGCGAGAAGCAGTGACTGTAAAAGCAGAGGCAGTGAAGCGGGGCGGCTGCAGAGCCGCGGCCCCGGCTGCCTCCCCGCAGCCCTCGTGCTTTACAGCACCGCTCTGTCGCCGGCCGGCAAAGCGGCCAAGCGAAACGCCGCAACACAAACCAGCCCTGCGCGACAAACAACGTCTGCGCTTCCATCACGCATCCTGTTTGGGACAAGTCTGGTCATGGGAACGGCGAGAGGGAAGCATAAGGAAGGAAACCTTTGTTTGGGCTTGCTCCTTCAGGGCAGCTCCGAGTGCGCCAAGGAGGCCTGGCCGCCTCCGGAGTGCAGCGCCGTGCCATGGGGTTACAGCTCCCCGGGGCGCTCGGCAGGACCAGAGGGCCCTCAGAGCTGCCTTAGCCTTCAGCTCGGCTTTACTGAGCCCGGCAGGGGCTCAGTAAGGCCGAGCTAGGGGAAATCCACAGGGGCAACCCCTCATGCGAGGGGTCTGTCTTGCCCAGCTCCTGCGGTGACACCGAGGAGGGGACCTCCCTTGTTACATGTCCTCGCACCCAGGTGGTCGGGGTTCCCGTTGCCCTCAGCAAGGACCACCCTTTCCTTACATATGTGCACAGGTTTGAGCCCAGCGCGCCGCCCAGCTGCTGTGGAGCGAGTAATTGCTGCGATGCCTTTCCGGAGGGTTTGGATGGAGCGGCGGAGCTGCGGGATGAGCGCTGGAGAAGGCTCCTCGCCCGGCACCTCCTCCGCCCTCCAGAGCTGCCGAGGGAGAGGCCGAGCGGACAGCGGAAAGTGTGAAAGAGTCAGGATTTCTGAGTTTTCCACTGACTGAGGGAGCTATGGAAAAAAAAATAGCTGAAATACCATTCTGGCAACTGGAAAAAACTACAATAATCAGCTTAGGTGAAGTATACACAACATTATGTAAAACTCTGTGTTGGATACATAGTGTCCTTGTGAGATTGCAAGGTCTGATACAGCACATTAATAACATAAATACCATTTTTCCAAGTTTCTATTGCATTAGCTGTTCTCCAAGTGCCACTTGCCATGTATTCTCCTCAATACCCTCAGGAGGAAAACAGCTAATCTGACATGACAAACTCATTGTATTTAGAGTCATCTATGGTTTGAAACATGTGTCATATGACTAACCACCCTACTCCTGGTACAATGCACCCCACAGTAAAATTGGACAGAGCTCATCCTTAAATGCCCTGCCAAAAATACTCCTAACAAAGGGCAACAAGAAAACATAATTCAAATGAGGGACATCTGTTCTCTAATGTTTGCAGATAATGACTGGATCAAGTGTCTGCATAAAGGATAATTATTTTCTGCAGATGGTTTGATCTGCTGTTTTAAACACTGAAAAATCCCCATCTTCGCCTCTCTGCAAAGTGCATGGAGTTTTGTTAGCAGGAGACCCTCTGCTGCATTAATAAATGCAAGTATAAGTGAAACTATGGGCACATGAAAGACCAAATCCAGGAGCAGTTGTGCTGTGCAGGATTCCGGAGGGCAGGTCACTTGCAGAAAGGATGGAGCAAAAGGGTTTATCAAAACAAAATAGTTTTGCTGCCTTTCCTCGAGACTGAGGTGTGACAGAACAGCCAACCATGAGGCACATTCTTGTTAAATCAGCGTAATCACAGTGGTGGGAGTGAGGAAGAGGGTGAAGCAGGAGGGAAGAAGAGAACAGCCGTCCCCACAGCATCCCTCAGCATCCGGCCTTCCCCTTGGCGCTGGGGCCTGGGATTACGGCTCTTCACCCCTTCCTTGGCCTGTAGCGCAGCATTCCCGGGAATTCTGGGAGCGCAGCCCCAGGCAGCCTCCGAGGGCGGCTCTTCCCTCGGGAATGGAGGGGAATTCCTTTCTCAAAGCAAGGAGGATGCCCTGCATCCCCAGGAAACGTGGTGGCAGGCTGTAGCGCGGTGGCAGGCTGTCTGCCGGGCGGGCAGTTTTCCTGCCAGGTTTTGCACGTCGTGGCCGGCTGGGTACCCGTGCACTGGGCGAGCCAGGCGAGGGGGTGTCACAAAGGCGGGAGCGGACGCCGGCGCAGCAGCAGCAGCTGGAGGAGCGATGCAGGCGGCTCCGGGCAGCGCAGGGAGGCCGGGGCTGTGGCGGCCCCGCCCGCTGCCGGCTCCCGCCCCGCCCGGCCCCGCCCGTCCCGCACTACGTTTCCCGGCGCGCCGCGGGCCGCGGGCGTGCGGGGCGGCGGCTTCCGGCGCGGCAGCCGGCGGGGCGGC